CAACTTTTGGATCTGCAGGTCCTGGGGTAAGGGCTAATAATTCATGTCCTTAATAAGTTCCCAGGTGAGGCTGGGTTGCTTGATGACTTAGCCTAGCTCTCTCTCTCTCTCTCTCTCTCTCTCTCTCTCTCTCTCTCTCTCAGGATCTCATGTAGCTCAGGCTGGTCTGGAACTCAATATGCAGCCAAGGATGACCTTGAACTGACTCTGTCCCCACCCCTTTTTTGAGATCCATTCCATAAGAGTTGGTCTGAACTTTTCTGCAAGTTTGAAATGTTTCATAATAAGATGACAAAAATTTATAGCAGAGACGCAGGGTAATCCCCAGGGGAGCAGGGCCTGAGGGGAACCTGCAGCTAGGATGCAGTATTGTGTGGGAAAATGCTGAGGATATTCTGACCTAGATAGTTTAGGTTGAGATAGAGCCCCTGAGAAAGTGCTTTTTGCTCCCTGGGCTGCCCTAAAGGCTTGTATGTGGGAGGCCTGGAACCCTGGGAGCAGGGTCAGAGCCCAGCATGGGTGGATGTGCTCAGAATTCGGGGACAGAGAGCTCTTCCTTTTGAAAAAATTAGTATTACTGTGTGTATGGGCGGATATGAGCGCCCCCTGCTGTGCATGTGTGGAGGTCAGTGGTCAACTCTATGAAGTTGCTGCTCTCCTTTCTCCTTTACATAGGTCACGGGGATTGAACTCAGGTTGCCAGAGTTTGTGGCAATTAACTTTTTATATAACATGCACTGGGTGGGCCCTGGGCGCCATGGTGGCACATGCCTGCAATCCCAGAACTTGGGAGGCAGGAGCAAAGTAGGAAGCTCAAGAGTTCAAGGTTATCCTTAAATATATAGGGAATAGGAGACCACCCTGGGACACCTGAGACCTTTTTCAAGCAAAATGAAACAAAACAGAATAGTCCTCTTGAAGAAATAAATACTCATATGATAAAATACTCATATCATGAACTAAATACTCAACACACCGCCATGTAGTCGTACAGACTTCCGCTGCTCAGCCTTCCCGCCCAATACATTTCTCCTTTTCCAACTGTTTCTTCTCAGTAGCTGCTCAGATCTCCAATATAGTTTTCAAGTGTCTCTCTGAGTCTGCTTTAATTTAATTGTTGACACCAAGAACCTGCAAAAGGTACCTGTGTCCCGGAACAGGAGTGGGGTGAGGGGCACATTCAAAGCGTCTGAGAGGTTGTGGAGGGTGTCTGGGCTATTTGGGAAACCTGTTTTCCTCTTGGCCAGTAGGAGAGGATGATGACATGGGCAGGGCTGGGCGTCCTAGGAGAAGGAGGGCTTGGGGTATTGGACTGTCATTTACTTAACTTGGGTCAAAATTTTCCTGAGGGAAGATTTTGGGCTTGCTGGGATAGCCACCTGTTTACAGAAAAGTAGATCCTGAGTGAAGCCCCTTTACTTCTCTGTGCCTCAGTTTCCTCATCTGAAGTGAGGATTAATTAGCAACTGCTTTTCAGGGTTAGTGGGGAGCTTATGGAGCTGGTACCCATCGTGAGGGAGTGCTA